ATAAAAGAGTCAGATGCTTAAAGGACTGAGCCACCCAGGAGCCCCTGTAAGGATTTACCTTTGCATGTCTAACCAGCCGCTTATACCTGGAATAAATCCCACTTGTTTGTGGCATATAATTCTTTTTCTATATGTTGTTGGATCTTCTTGTTAATATTTTGTTGTGGATTTTTCCATTTCAGTTCATAAGAGTAGTTTCCCCCTCCATTGTTTTTGGTTTGTTTCTGGTGTCACAGTAATCCTGGCCTCATAAAATAAGTTGCGAAACGTTCCCTCCTCTTCTCTTTTCTGGAGGAGATCATAAAAATTGACGTTAATTCTTCAGATGTTTGGTGGATTTCTCCAGCGGAACTATCTAGGCCTGAAGATTTTTTTTTTTTGAAATTTTAAATTATGAATTCAATTTCTTGCATGGTTATAAGGGCATTTAAGTTGTCTGTTTTATCTTGTTTGCGTTTCGGTAGTTGGTGTAGCTTTATGAAGAATTGCTTCTTTTTCCCCCTAAACTGTAGAAATCCATGAGCACAAAGTCACTTGTACCATTGCCTTGTTACATGTCTTAGTGTGGGCACCCACGCACATTTGCTTAAACCATACTTAATCTCCAAATAAAGACGATGAGGTCATAATTCCACCTCACACGATAAAATGCATCGTGAGTCCACCTGAAAATCATGCTAACGCCTTCCCCAGAACAGGAAGCAAAGGGCGGGAGGATGTATACTCGTCTCCTGACATCACACAGGTAAATACTGTGACGTGAAAGGAACAGTCCTGCGCTCTCAGGATATCAAGTCCATATATCTTATGCACATGATAAGGGGATGCGCGAGGAAAGAAAACAAAACACACGTGCAGACTCACAGGAAAATCAGGAGGAAACACTACACAAACACACCCCTTATTTTTGTAGTGGCAGGAGGCCCGGGGTCAGAGCTGGTGTTTGGTGTTTGTAACCATCTCCTTCCACTCCCCACCCACCTGACCTTTGCCTTCAGCAATCACCCCAGCTGCTTGTGGGTCTTAACCTGGTGGAGTGACTTAACCCCTTCCTTCCTGGAGGGTCTGGACCATTCGTAGTCCTGCCTGGCAGGGGTCGTTGTGGTTTCCCGTCGACCTCCACCCTAGGGTGCTGCAACTGTGTGACGCCCACAGGACCTGCTCTGGTCCAGACACTCTTCCTTCCTTCCCCCACTCCCCACATGGGAGCAGTGGTCCCATGTCCCGTGGCAACAGGGTCAGCCCCTCCCCCCCGCCAACACTGGACCTCCCTTCTCTGCCTGCTGGTTCGGGTGCCGGGGTGAGCAGTCTGGCTTCCCGTTTGCTGGAGTCACGGCCGTGTCTCTGACAGAAGCCTCCTCCCTCTGCCACGGAGACCTCAGCGCAGCAGAGCTCAAGGTCGTGGGGGCGGGAAGAGAAGGTTCTGCTAGTGGGGCACTAGGGGTGATAGTGAGGGTGCCCGGGCCATTTCCACCCCCTGATTCCTGGGCCCATGAATCCCAGCTCTGGAAGCCACGGCCCCAAACATGGGACGCTCACTCAGAGCACATAGGGCCTTCGGGGGGGACGCTGTCCTGGTGCTACAGGGTACCGCCCCCTCACTGGGGCTGGAACCAGCCTTCAAAAGGCCCTTCCGCTGTCCTGTCTGCCAGCTGCTGCAGGGTGGTGGGCCACGGGTCTCACTGAGACCAGTGAGAGCCGTGAGCGTGGACCTATGGCCCCACCTCATTTGCCATGGAGCGAGCTCCTGGTGGGACACGGGGACAGCAGATGAGGCATTCTGGAAGTCCATGATGTCGTTTTGGCGGGAGTCCACTTGTGGGGGAGGCAAATCTGTATCCCGAATGTGTGTCTGTTCCAGTAGGAACAGAGCCCGGCCCTTCCCACGATGGAGGCCGCCCAGGGACGTCAGCCCGCCAGCAGGTGGCTGGCTGGTCGCTATAGGAAGGGCTCCAGGTGAGGGCTTGGTGTGGGCATCCACCGCTGGCACATGGGGCACACAGTGGGGGCCAGAGCTGGGTGGGCGTTGGAGCGTGAAGTCCCTGCTGCTGAGCCACATGTGGCCTCCACCTCTGCCAGCACAGCCACTTTATGCCAGAGCCCAGGGGGCCATGGCCGGGGTGGCTGGGGAAGGGGCTGCCTGGTACCCCCAGAATGGGCCATCTACCCGCCTGATGATGAAAGACCGCTGGCGACCTCCCCCCGTGGTGGGCATTCACATGGGGCACAGATACCTACATTTTACCTGTCCACACACCTCTTCCCTAAATTCCCATGTCATCATTTTCCCAGTCATGGTCCTTCCGAGTCCCTGATTGTCCAGCCGAACCACTGGCCACAGCCACGAATCAGCCATGTAATATCACTTCTGGCCGTTTCTCCTTCCGAGCACGGTACACAAGCAGGCACACGACCCAAGTCCTGCCCCCCAGGGGACTCCCCTCCACCACATTCTCCGGGGACGTCCAGGGGGCAGGGGCTGGAGAGTGACAGCTGTCCACGCCAGGTGGCAGCTCCTGAGCATGGGCCAGACCCATCGGACAGCCGGGCCCGAGCCTCCTCTCCCCTGTCAGCTGACCGGAAGGGGGCCCCACAGACATACATGAATATACAAATATCTTGTTGAGTCCCTGATTCCGATTTTCTGTATGAATATCTAGAATTGGCATTGCTGGGTCATATGGTCAATCTGTTTTTAAGTGTTTGAGACGCTGCACCATGCTACATTCTCACCAGCCTCATCAATAGGGAAGGAGATGCCCCCAGGGCTGGTTTGGAGACAGTGGAGGGGCAAACACCTTGCACCTGTGCACACCTTGATTGTAGCCCAGCGAGGCCTGTGTTAGATGTTGGACTTACGGAAACATAAGATAATACACTGTGTTGTTTTAAGCCCTTAAGTTTGTGGCCGTTTGCCCCCAAAGCAACCAGAACATTAACACAGACCCCTCAGGCCACCGCTTTTTCTTCCCCAGTGCAGCTCCAGCAGGCAGCCAGCAGAGGGCAGCAGCCGCCGACGAGCAGAACTCCGCTCCCTGGTCAGTGGCTGGAAGCCAGGACCCTTGCTCAGGACTGGTCACCACCCGGTGAGGAGGGGTGACCAGAGGCTGCTGAGGGCTCGTGACATTCTGAGTCTTGGCTACAGGTGTGTGTGAAAGTCAATTGCACACGTAGGATGTACAGTTTTCTGGATGTCATACTGCAGTGAAAATGTGCTTGGGGGACGGGGAGAGCTGGGAGGGGGCCAGGGTTGGGGGTGAAGAGAAGGGGGACGAGAATGGAACACAGCAAATCAATTACTTGGCAGAGGGGAGTCATCAGACCTCAGCATCTACAAGGTTGCCTTTTTCCCGGGGATGCATCCCTGGCAGCCTCCTGGTGGGGGCAGCAGACACCAGCCCATCTGAGGAGGCCAGGTTAGAATGCCAGGGCGGGTCCAAGGCAGTGTTTCAGGCGCCAACCACTCCTCTGCCAAGAGCCGTGTCAGTGAGCAGTGGGTGGGCGCCTGCCGTGGACATATCTGTGGTCCAGAATGCATGAGAGCTTACCTTCCACATGCCCCCTTACCTCCTCCACCACTACGCCTGCCAGCTTGACTCTGAGGTCCACTCAGCTCAAAGGCAGAAAGGTCCACCCGGTCTCCTGCCTCCTTCCACGCCCTCTCCCCTCCACTCAGCTCTCTGCGCACTGCTGCCTCAGGGCCTTTGCACTGCCCTTCTGCTGCCTGATCTGTCCTGCCTTCTTCCATGATTTGACATCCTGGCTCCTTGTTGCTCAAGCCTCCATGGGCCTCCTGGGCCAATCATGTCACACTCTGTTCTACTTTATCAGCATCTCTTTCTGCCTCTGAAACTATCTGGTTCTGGGTCCGTTTTCTGGTTAGGCATCTCATACCCTCTGCAGGAAGCCTCTGCCCGTGGGGAGGAGGGAACGGTCTGCTCTGTCCACTGCTACGTGCTTGAACACTGCATGAGCGAATGTCTACACGGTCTGGGTGCCCGTCTTGGCATAGGTGCTCAGGAGCCCTGTGCCCGCGGGGAAGTTACCTCCCCACGCTGAGCTGCTCATCTGTCAGATGGGCCCTCGTGGGCTTCTGGGAGGGCTCATGGAGAGGGGCGGTCCCCGCAATGCTGCCTCCGGGTTCTGCCTTCATGTCTGGACTAAGGAAGTGGTTCCAAAACTTTGGGAGGACATCTAGGCGGCAGGTAACTAGGACGTTGGGAGTTTGAGATCCGCGGAGATGTTCCTGGGGACGCAGGAACGCGGGCACTAGGGGACGCCAAAGCTCTCCCTCGGCCCGGAGTGTGAGAAGCAGAACCGCCCGGAGGGGTTTCTAGGGACCGACCCCAGCTAGCAGGGCTGTGAGGCTTTGCAGGCGTTGGGTGTGAAAAGTATCTTTCTTTCGTGAAATAGTGCTGATTAGAAGTGGCAGTTTGAAAACGTGTCCCCACTGGCCCAAACGAAAACACTGGCAACCCTAGGTGTGTATCCAGGAGGACTGGGGATGTTTTAGGTCCATGGATTCCTAAGTGCCACCGTGCTGGGTTGGTGGGACCGGGGCGGGAACTGGAGGATGGAGGAAGATGGTGGGAAGGGGTGAGCACGACGCCCACCCCAGCATAAACGCAGGCACATGCACGTACACACACACACGCAGGTGTCCAAGGAAACACAGCCCATGCGTACGCACACGTGCACACACGCAAGCACAGACAGGCGCATGCATACACACACTCACAGAGAGACGTGGATGCCTGTGATCCCTCCCGAATTTGCAGCTCAGCCAGGAGGCTCTGGGGACAGCCTCTTGAGCTTCCCGGGGTGAAGGTCACAGGGACGGCGTTCGAGTGAAGACGGGGTTGTGTATCCAAATTTATTTAGTTGCATGAAGTTTCAGCCACGGTCTTGGTGAACTGGCGTACATTCACTTTTTTTTTTTTTTTTCAAAAAAAGAGTAGTTTCCATAAAAGGATTTTTGGTCATCACCTAATTTTTAATGCAGTATTTATATACAAAAAACCCCACTTCCAACTTCTTACTGTACAAGAGAAACTAGAAGCGTCAGACCCCATGACTATAGCAATGCCTATGGACGGCGGTCTGGGCTGGCGGCCGGAGGGGATGGCCTCACGCCGAGCGCACGTTCACGGCAAACGCATCTGTTTCTCCCCTCCCTTCGATGAGACATTTCTTTTTAGGTTTCTCTTGGAGCTCGAGAAATTTCAGACAATTGGTTAGTATAATGGCTGCAAATTTAGACCACTCTTGTCATCTGTGAGACTCGTTTTTACAAGCTTTAAAATGGTAACTGTCCCACAGTCACATTCCTGTAAGTAAAAATATAGAGAAGTATTACCAAAATAGAAGCCTTTATTAATAAAAATCTTTGGTAGTAACAGTGTTTTTTAAATTCCTCGCGATGATATTTGGTTAACTAATAAAATAAACTCCTTCCACCTTGGAGCGACAGAGAAAAACCCTCAAGTCCACCCTAGAACTGATTTTTTAAAAAAAATCCCAATAAATATTCTAAAGCTGTGACTGTTTTCCCGATGCCTTAAGATTTCGTGGAACCTGAAGCCGTCTTTAGAAATGCCTCTGGGGTCCTCTCTCTCTCTGCTCATTTTCTGCCCACCTGCTTTTCTTTCTTCTTCTTTTTTTCTGTCCCACCAAGCAGATGGCCAGTTCTGAGGCTGGCTCATGGTGGAGGGGCAGGTGTGGGGCTGACAGTGGGGACCCTGACGGTGCGGGCCACCCACTGTCCCGAGGGACACCTGCGCCCCAAGGTTCTCCAACAGTAAATTCTGAGCTCACAGGCCCTCTCCTTCTGGCCAGAGGGTCTCTCAGTTTCTGAACTAATGGAAAACAGAAGATGAAAAGCCAGCTGACTTCTCCGACCTGCGGTAGGTGAGCCTTCTGGAACCGGTGTCAACCTCGTTGTTCCGTTCTCCCTCTAAGACTGCACGATGTTTATCCAATGCTTTGCAACACCATCTCGACTCTCTCTAAAGGCATCGGGCAGATTAGAAAAGATGCTTTCTGGAGGCCTCTGCTCACCTTCCACGGCAAAGGAGACCCAAGGTTCCCAAGGATTGTTTCTGCAAAGCGACCGTATTCCTGCGCGTTCTCACCCTATCCCCAGCGATCATTTTGATTAAACTTGAATACTAAAGATAAAAAAATTCCCTGCATATGGTTTTGTGCAAAACGAGGAGAAGAGAAACAGGAAAATGACAGAAGAATGTTGTCCTATCGGAAGGTGGTCTTCCACCGGCTGGGGGAGGGTGCCCAGTGGCCGGGAGGCCAGGGGCAGCTACAGGGCACCCCCAGGGTACTCGGGGCTGTCCAGGCAGGCTTTGGGGCCGTGGTTGTTGCACGGCTCGTCCTTCTTCCGGTCCTTCTCCATCCAGGTGTCGAGCAGCTGCTGCTTGCCCTGCTCCTCCCGCATGAACAGCTCCACCATCAGCACCTTCTCCTTGTGCACCTGCTGGCTGATGTCCTTGGGGATGTCTGGGATGACCCAGTCCACGAAGTCGCTCATGAACATGACCAGGTTCTGGAAGGAGAGTCAGTGTGTGAGGGTGGGGAGGAGGACAGCAGGAGGTGCTCCCCACCTTCCCTGCACCTGCCTCCACTCCCACCTGCCTTTCACCACACCTGTCTCTGCTGTCCCCCACCCCCGACCTCCCTACCACCCCCCTCCACTGTGCCCACCCCATCACTCCCAGCCTGCGACCCGAGACACACAGTTTGGACTCCCTTGGCCTCGGTTTCCCCCAAGGTATAAATGAGGCAGGAAAGTGGCCAGCTAGCCCTCCAGAAACCTTTGCTCACTTCTATTATGAACCGGAGCTCAGTAAATGGCAGTTTCTGAATAATTCTGACTCACTGGTCTGGGAAGCTTAAGCGATGATTGGATTGGTCACGCATCACCAAATACAGTAAGTACCGGGCTTTAAGGAAAATAGAATAGAAATAGCATGAAAGCCGGGTGGAACTTGGTGTCTGATGATGCCACAGGCCCTTCTCCAGTTTGCAAGGGCTCCCAGGGCCACCCCGCAAGTCTGCTCCCTCCCTGGAGAAATTTCTAGTGCATGGAGAGCAAATGGTCGGCTTTTACAGAAGAACTGAAATCTATTTTTAAAACTTCTGTCCCGTGATCCCTTGTCAGCATATCTGGCTGTTCGTTACCTGGTGGACTGTGCTGGTGCCTCCCAGCCCCCAGCTGTGGCTACTGAGGCTCACAGCTGCCTTCTTTCTAGGGAACCCCCTCCCGCCTGGCTCTTGGTCTGAACAGACTACGGCCCATGCCCAACCAACATGGGCAGACCAAAGGGGTTCTCTTGCATCCAGGTGGGCCTGGGTGTGTGCTGGGATAACCCACTTGCACCAAATCCTTGCCTCAGGCTCTGCTTCTGGTAAACTCAGCCTCAGACACTTGTTTCCAAACACTTGTTTGCAGAGTGTTATGGAAAGCTGACAGGTGAGGCAACAGAGGGGTGGAGGTCCCACCAGCAGCCACACTCTCTGTAAAGGGCAGTGCTGGGGCTTGAACTCAGTCCCTAGGATTCCAGGTGCAAGAGGTACCTGAGTAAAAGGGACTTTGACTGGGCCCATGTGGTTAAGGGATGCTCCCCCAGCTCTGGGACTACAGCTGCTGCAGACAGCAGCCTGGTCCCCAGTCTTGGGTCCTGTCCCCTGGGAATCACTTTGGCCTCTGAGTTATTTGTTGTCCCCTCCCCAGAGACCAGGCAAGGCTGGGTGCTCTGTTCCCTGGCTGGGGGCTGGAGTCAGCCCGGAACCCACTCCCCTCCTCCTGCCTGTACTGGTCCTGTCCTCGGGTTGTCTCCAGCTACAGAGGTGGTGAGAACCCGAGCTGGGTCTCCCTTCCTCCCTGTCTCCTTCAGTAAAGACCACTCGTATCTAACTAGGCCTGCCTTCCCCAGAGAGGTCCAAATCCCACCGCTGGTACTGGCCCAGGCTTCCCTCTGCCCTCCTGGGACCTGTCCGCCAGGCCTCTAGGCCTCCCAACGCCCCCAACACGGGCCACCTCCTGCCTTCTGACCCCGTTCTGGGCTCAGAGCGCTTCCTCAATGCCCGCTTCCCAAACCTCCAGGAAACGAGGGCCTGCCGCACCTGGAAGACAATGACGAAAGCCAGCCGGGCCGCCAGCACGGCCCAGAAGTCCTTGGAGATGTCGTACTTGTGCTCTGACCATGGGGGCTCCCGGTAATCTTTGTACCTGCAGAGATGGACAGGAATCAGCCGGGGGTTGGGGGGTCTTCAAGCAGAACCAGGGATCATTCCTGGTGCCCCACGTCCCTGAGCTAGCAGCAAGAAAGCCCACCCTGGCCTCCTTCCCCTCTTCCCGCTGCAGCTTCCCGGCTCTTCCCTCCTTATCCACACACGACACCTGTCCGCGCCGCTCCCTGATGTAGCATCATGGACGCTGCCCATTGACTTCCCGCCGGGGCAGACACCCTCCCCGTGGGGACCTCCCACTGACCCTCGCTCTATGGAAAGCGGCTTCCTTGCTTGCCTGTCCACTGCCTGCCAGCATACACTGTCCCCCTCCAGAGTGCCCCGTCCCTGTCCCCTTCTCAGAGGTCCTGAGATGACCAATCTGTGGGAGCAGGGCAAGGATGACAACCAGGGTCCTGTCACTTCACAGGCCCTCTGACTGTGCCCTGAATTCTGGGGACGCTGTTGGCTTTACTGGGGCTGACCTGTGTTACACAGCAGAAAGCTCCCCAAAGCCGCCAGAATAAGCTTGAGGCAGGGGCAGTTTCTGGGGTTGGGGTGGCAGTTCATCCCCGCTGGTCGCTGAGGTCCAGTGGTGGGGGGACCAGAAGAGGGGTCATCTGGCTCTGGGGGCACAGCCCTGGCCTGACCCCAGAACAGTGACCACCTTGCTGTGTGTTCTCGTGCAGTGGCTCAGCCTCTCTGGGCCTCGGTCCGGCGTCCTCTCAGTCACAGGAGAAGCATTTAGTGAGTCGCTATTATCTTCCAGCTCCCATTTCAAGGGAGCACATTCAGGAACACACAACAGAGAGGGCCCTTCGCCCACAGAACCTTACTTGTGGAGGGAGCTGGATGGGAGCCTCTAAGGAGCTGCTGGGTGCTAAGCTGCCAGGCCAGAGATAGGATCGATCTCTCTGGGAACGATCCTATCTGGGTACCAGCGGCAGAGTGACATAGGACTTGTCCAACCTGCTCTGTGATGGGAACAGGCAGCCCCTGCTCTCCCAGCGTCAGATGCCATGTACACGCGTTCCTTCCTTTTCTTTCTGTGCTTATGGCCAGCTGCACTGGGATGCAAGGAAATATGCGTGGGTCACCTGGCAGACTCCTAGGCATCCCTCAAAGCCCGCTTAGGCCTGTCCAGAGGCCACCTCCCACCACCTGCACTGACCTCGATCAGAGACGATCTAACGTTTTCCTTGCTTAGCTCTGGTACCCAGCCTGCCTGTGCCCCTGGGGAGGGTCATAATGACCTCTCTGGGGGTGGCTCCGGGGATTAGAGGAGAGAAGGCCTGCCTCAGCATAGATGTAAATGGTAGCCAGCCACAACTGGAGCTCTGAGCAGTGCTCTGCCTCTCCCCACACCCATCGCCCCAGGCTGGGCTGGGTGCTGTGCCTCCTGCCACCAATTTCTGCGAGAGGCACCTTGCCTGGGCGCAGCTGGTGAGGGCCCGGAGCTCCCAGACCTGCGCTGCTGGATCTTGGCCAGTGGAGCGGGGAGGGCCTGGCTGGAGCCCGAATCCCAGGGAGTGGGCTGGTCTGATCCGCGGTCTTCCGACTCCGCGGGGGTGAAAGCTACAAGACGCTTATAAATGGGTCTTGGCTGTGAGCCTGGCCTCTCCCCCACATGGCCAGGACCCTGGGCTGATGCATGGGACAGAGATGGAGCTGCTTCCTTAGCCAACGTCTGGGACCCAACGTCCGGCTCTTGGAAACCAAGGCTAACCGTGTAAATACCAACGCTGACATTCCAGAGGAAATTTCTAGTAAGATGACCACACATCTCCTGTCTTCTTTGCTTGTAATTATTCATCCTCCAAAATGGATTTTTAGCAAAGTAGGTCAAGTGTGTACATTTAGCCTGAACCGTCGAGATGATGCAGGGAGAGCGTCGGGGCCGCGGAAGGAGAGGGGTCTGGCGCAGAAGCCCAGGGGTGAGGGGTCGCCTGTCTGCGCCAGCCTGGAGTGTGCGTCTGCTGAAGGATGGGGGCGGGTGTCTGTGGGTCCCTTCTCTGCACTTCCGGCTCCCAGGCTGTCCCCTCTCTGAGATGACCACACCGGAGTGATTTTTGGGCCCATTTAGGTGCATGTGGAAGTGTGTGGGCGGGTGGGATTCGGGAAGCTGGAGCCGGGTTGGGGTGCGGGCCTTGCGGTGTCACGCACCCTATCTAGCTGGCAGACGCGGCTCTAACTCGTTCCTTCCCCCGGCTGCACCTGGGCCCAGAGCAGGTGCCGCCCCCGCCCTGACACAGAAGAGAACACCGTGTCCTTGCACCGGAGTGGCTCCGGGCCCCGCAGGGATGCCTGCTGTGTGCAGTGCTGCGGGGAGCACCGGAGCCGGGACGCCTGCTTCCCTTTTCCCCATGGCTCCGGGAGGCGGGGCGTTTTCCATTTCTTGGGAACGTCTTGCCACTGCAAGCTGCTTCTTGTTGCTCAGTACCCTAGACACTAGCAGGTGCCCCCTCTCCCCTTTCCTCGGTCAAGGTGACAGAGATCTACCAGCCAGCCTCAGGGAACCACGTGCCAAGGAGCCAGCAGGCCTCCCGGAGCCGGAGGGACCGCGTTTTACCGCACGGGCTCTGGGAGGCGTATTTTGTCCCTGAGCTCTTCTGTGTCCTGAACCTCAGCTGGGCTGGAACAGCTCCCGCGGATTCCCTCCTTGGTGCTTTTGCCCACGCTGTCCTGTCACCGGAGTGACCCCACTGCGTCTACCCTTCACCCGGGCTTCCAACTACAATTCCCTCCTTTACGCTGACCTGTGCCAAGGTCCCCAGACAGCAGGGACCGTGCCAGGCACAGGTCCCCGGATCCCAACCTAGGCTGGTGCATGTGGTAGTGGCCCAGGGAATGGCCAGGTCTCAGCTCTGCCCCCCACGTCCGGCCTCGCCTCCATCTTTCCTGGGGGGCTTCCTGTGTACCCCATGCATCTGGCCAGCAGGTGGGGCCCCACAGGTCTGGCCATCTCTGCTGGCCTGCCCAGCATCCAGTACCCACCCCCGAGTCAGAGCATCCCAGTTTCCTGAGGGACCTCTTCATTCTCTACGCATGACCCCACATCCTGGCACACGCCCCAGCTCTAGCCCCTACCCCCTGCCAACAGCGTTTTATTTAGGGATGGGCATGTGATCCACGGCAGGCCAGTGAGAACGGCAACTTCTGCTGACTACTGAGAAAGACGTTCCGCCACTGGGATGGCTGAGGTGACAGAGCGTCTTCACTGTCTAGCCAAACAACACAACCATGGAGGAAGGCAAAGCTGGGAGGCTGCACCAGAGCAGGGCCTGACGGCAAACTATAGGCCTGGATCCAGCCATGCCTGAAGCCGTCCTTGCCTTCTTAAGACTTGCCAGTGGCTACCCTGGCTTTTTTTTTTTCCCCTTGAAGCAAGTTTGAGATATTCTGTGACTTGCCCCTAAAAGAATCCTTGCTTGAACTAGGCTTTTCCCAGAAACCCACCACATGTGTCTTTCGGAAAGAAACGCTGAGAGCCATACCTGCAGATCTGTACCTCGTAGCCCAGGTCCAGGGGGTCATTGGGGGCCGTGCCGTTCTGGAAGTCGCTGACGTTGAAGGAGGAGAGGGTGTGGTTGACGAAGCCGTGCATGGTCCCATTCTCGCTGTACATGTAGAGGTACACCAGACGAGGGATGAAGTCGGACGTGAAGGAGATGACGAATGCCTGGGCCGGGGACAGGGCGGTGAGTGCAGACCCCCGGCTGGGTGCAGGAGGGGGACATGCCCCGAGGGAGCCAGGGTGGCCTTGGCCCTGGGGTGGTGCCATGTGACACTTTGCCTATGAGTCGGCAAGGGGGCCTGGGTGCAGGGAACAGGACATCCCTGAGCAGGAAGGCAGGGGGGCAAATGCAGCCTCTCACTGGCTGTGTGGCCTCGGCCACGTCACCTAACCTCTCTGTGCTCTGTGTGCCTCCCCTCCCTGGCCTACTTGAGAGGGTATGCGGGAGTGGAAAGAACTTAGTGAACAGTGAGGTTCGGACTCCAATCATCCTATCCCAGAGCCATCTCTGGGGACATCCAGCGTGCTGTCAACAAGAGCAGGGACCGGGGGCCTGGCCGCCTGGGGTAAGGTCCAGCCGGGCTGCTTTCTGGCAGTGTGGTTGTTGGGTAGGTCGGCTGACCTCTCTGTGCCTCGGCCGTCCTGTACGACGGGCAAGGACAGTCCCTTCCCTGAAGGCTGTGTGTGCACAAGGGGTGGATGTGTGTAAAGAGTGTAGAAGGGCCTGGAATATTCTAGAGGCTCGATAAAGGCTAGCTGCCATTACTGCTGTTGCTGGCTGTTCCCATGAGAGGTCCAGCTGGTTTCCAGCTGCTCACATCACCCCTGTGCTCCAGCTGGCTGTACCCCGTTCCCAGCTCACCCCCTCCCCCATCAAAATGTGTGCTACTGCCTTGGAGCTTTGCGCCCACCAGCCCAGGTCAGGAGAAGGAGCTGTCGCTGCCTAGTGTGCACGCTCTGCCCATCGCGGCCCTTTAACAGGGGTTCCAGAGCCTGGATTGGGCAGGGGGCTGCCCCCAGCAGGGGAGGCAGTGTCCCAGGGCTCTGAGAGTCTCTTCTCTGGGGCCGAGCGTCACCTCTTGTGCTGTGGGGCTGAGTCCCCAGACCCACAGGCCCCAGGCTGTGTCTGCTCCTGGGAGCGGCAGCCTGTGTGCGGAAGTCAGCTTCTGGGGGCTGGGGCTCAGCCTGCAGGCGGAGGGGTGAGGGTCACAGGCTGGGGGCACTGTGGACCTCCGAGGCTGTCTGACATTTGTTCGCACGGCTGGGGATCAGCCTTGGCTTTGAAGCGTGTGTGAGGGACCACTGGACCACTAAGCCCAGGGACATCCAGGACTCGGAAGAGCCACGCGGACCTGGATGGGTGGCCGCAGGGAAGGCAGTGGGCTGGTTCTCGTGACAGGCCCCTGCCCTCCTAACCTGCAGGGACAGGGGCAGGGGCAGGAGAGGCTGTGGCAGGAGTGTGTGGACGAGGGGCTGAGGAGGAGGGCTGCCCGGGCGAAGCTGAGCAGGGAAGCAAAGTCCTCAGCAAACTACGTGTGTGCAAGAGGAGGCCGGAGGGCTTCTGCCCCTCATCTCCATGTTTCTGCATTTCCTGAACCTTTAAAGAACAGGCACGTATTTCATACAAAGCGATAAAGGTAACCTCTAAAAATAAGAGCAGAATGATTGCTAAAGAGGAGTTTCTTTCTCTCTCTCTCTTGTATCCTCAGGACTCTGGGGAGGGAGCGGACTTAGGGGCCAGGGTGGGCGTGGCAGAGAAGTCTGCTCAAGGTTATAGAAGAAGGTCAAGGACAATGTGTCGTTCCCACCCACAGTTCGTCCCAACCCCTCCGTATGACCAAGGGACGTGTCTGAACAGGAGATGCTTCCACCAGTCTGGGCGGCACTGAAGCAGGAGACAGAGACCCCACGTGGCTTCCCCGGGAGGGGCGTCCAGCTCCGTGGCCACCCAGTGGGCGCTCCTGGGCAGCAGAGGCCCCCGCAGCCACCCGGTGGGTGCTCCTGGGCAGCAGAGGCCCCCGCGGCCACCCGGTGGGCGCTCCTGGGCAGCAGAGGCCCCCGCGGCCACCCGGTGGGCGCTCCTGGGCAGCAGAGGCCCCCGCGTCACTTACATTGATGATAACAGCCAGTTTCCCGACGCCTCTGAGGATATTGTACCAGATTCCTGGGGAAAGAGGAGCACAGTGTCGGGCCGGCTCAGCCCCGGGCTGTCAGGACCCCCGGCTAGCAGGTGAGAGGGGCCGGCTTGGTCCCCTCCCCGGTGGTCAGATGCGTGGAACGAGCAGATGTTGAAGGGCTCGGGGGGAGGGGACCCCGGCTGGTGACAGCGCCTCGTCCACTCCTGGCTCCGCAGGTGTTCAGAGCCAAACTGTCACTTCTCCAAGGGGTGCTTCGAATCAGCCGCTCCCTGAGCGGTTCCTGAACCCGAAACCTTAGACGAAGTCCCCAGAGGGACAAAGATTCCATTTGGATGTGGTTCCTGCCCAAAACGGTCCACATAGGAGCGGAGACCAAGCCCGGGAGGCTTCCGTGTCCTGCACCGTTGCTCTGGGACCGGGAGACCGAATTCAGGGATGGGTCCCTAAATGTATGTCCCAGATCCAAGAGCAATGCCAGGGCCCTGGGTGGGGGACGCTGGGGTCATGACCTGAGCATAATGATTCGACGGCCGTGAGGCGCAGGACAACTCCTGTCTGTGTGCCCCCCGTTTCTGCCACCGTGGTGCCTAGCACTGCCCCTAATTCCCCGGGGAGCAGGGGGCTCCCCAGACAGACGCACGGTCCTCCACTGGCCTCCCCAGCAGAATGAGGCCAGCGGGGCCGGGCGAGGGCCTTATCTGAGGGCCCCTGCGGGAAGCGAGGGGGGCCTGCCTCCCGCCCCACGGAGCGCCACCGGAGCTGCGAGGAGATGTCCCGGGTTCTGTCCGTCTCCCCACGAGAGCAGTGGTTCTCAAGTCTCCTTCCTGCTGGAGCACGCGGCCCACGCGCTGGTACCAGGCTGCCCCGTCGGGCTCCCCTCAGGAGTGCCAGTGGGGATGCAGGGGAGGGGATGGTCCTCGCGGGGGAGACGCTTCTGGACGAGGCCAGGCTTCCTGGGCTTCCCGCCCGGCCGCTCGGCACTGGGAGCCCCTCTGCACAGCGCCCGGGGAGGCTGTGCACCGCACATCCCTGCTTCTCTCCCGGGCCTCGCGTGCGCTGTCTGGCCGCTGGCGCTCGGCACTGCTGGGCGGACGTTTGCTGAGTGACTGCAAGAGCGTAGACAGCCCTTCCCCCCAGGGCTGCTGGTCCCTGGCCCGAGGCCACAGGATGGCGGTCCTTGGGCCACAGCTGGGCTCATGGCTGTTTCGTCCTGCTCACGTGCGTGCTGCTTGGCGACGCTGACTGGTGTTTACAGACCATGATGGTACGTTTTTTGAAAAGTCTGGACTTGCCGCTGCTTCTGAAAGAGCCTCCGTCCCAAACGGGCGGCCTGTTTCGATGGCTACGGTGGCGCCCTCTCCAGGCTGGGCCATGCACTGCGGCTCTGTTCTCCCCACCCTGCACTCACTCACCCACCGGGCCTCCTGGCCCTGTGGGGTCTGGGTTTGCAACCTCCAAGACCGGGAGCTGGGGCCTGGGTGAGAGCCCGGTGAAGGTGAAGCGTCTGGGGCAGAGGCTCCTAGGGGAGGCGGCGACCCCAGGAAGGGAAATGGGTTTTGGACTCACTGCCCAGGGACAGGCCAGTGGGTGGAAGGAGGGGAGTGTGGGGAGTGGGAGTGACCAGGTTGGGATGCGGGGTGGGCCGGAGAGCTTCTCGGAGCCCAGGACGGAGCCCAACGTACAGGCCCCAGGGCATCTCTATGTCCAGGCCCGAGATCCTGTTGGACCCCACACCAGAATCCTAGGGTCTTGTACAAAAAATGCCAAACCAGGATGCCCGCCCCAGGCCTTGGGCTCAGCCCTTCTGGGGGTCTTGGCCCTCCCCTTCTGTGTGATCGGGACGCATGCCGCAGAGCACACCACGCTCCAGTGATCTCCAGGTACAGAATGAAAACCTTCAGGCTCCCTGTAGGAGAATCTCCAAGGGGGAAGGGAGACACTCCAAGGTGTCCCTGCTGTCCAGGGACGCCACAGCCCATTTCCAAGGATGAGACAGGGAGGTATTCCGACTCCCCGGACCATGCGCCGGAGCCCAACGCAGGCAGGGGCCTCTCACGGGAAAGGCTCGAAGAGAACACGTGGGAGCAGGAAGCACGATCGTCTGCTGTCAAAGGTCAGGGCCAGGAGGCTGGAGCTGGGTTCCCACTGGCAGGGAGCTGGGTCCCCACCGTGACTCACCCAGCCTCCCCTCCCAGCCAGAGCCTCCCCCGGCTACCCCTGGAGCCCTGGGAGCAGGCCGTGGGGGCCACCGGGCCCGGCGTCCCCTCGGGGCCCACACGGATCATAGGAGGAATACAAAGGCTTGTTCAGGGAAAGGTTACAGGGGAAGAAGGGCAGATTATGCCTCCAACCGAGCAGACAGGAACCAGGAAGTGAGAGGCCGGTCCATGAGAACAGGGAGAGAAGGGGGGCCGCGGGCATAAAAAAGGCAGACACCCGCCTCCCAGCCTCGGGGGGGTGGTGGGAAGGACCACGCCAGGGACAGGCAGGGAGCGGCCAGGAGGTGGCCGGGGTGCTCCCGTTCACCCTGCTAGGTTTGCAGGCTTGAGGACGAGGCCGCAGGGGAAGTGGAGCTCTGCCAACGCAAACACGGCCACCCCGGCCTCGCCTGGGGCCTCTGGGCGCCTGAGAATCAGGCCTTTGTCAGGGAGAAGTGACAGCCGGGAGGCCGCACTCCCGTCTTTACTAACACTGGGCACAGGGCTCCAGAATCCCCAAGGGCTGTCCAGGGAGCGCCTCGGCCAGCTGCCCCGTCCACCCTTTCCTTTGGGGCCTTGGGTTGCAACGTAAGCTTTCCCGGGCAAACCGTCTGCTCGCGGAGGTGCTGCAGGAGTGGGCGGCCCGTGGGTGGGGGGCTGGGGGCGCAGGGTCTCCAGTTCCAGCTCAGCATTGGTGACCACCTGGCCTTGGTCTCCCCATTGGGAAAATGGGACCGAGGATCTGCCCAGGCCTCCTCTAGAGGTTGCCGGGAGGACCCGATGCCGAAAGCCCCAAGAAGTGATCAAGTCCACGCACTGCCTCTGGGGTTCCCCCTCAGAGCAGGGCATGACAAGCTCACGGGAACCCTGGGGACAATGTCACCTTCATCTGAACGCGGCCTGGGGCCCAAATTCAGTGCACTCAGCCTGGGGCGAGAACGGTGCCCTCGTGGTCCACGGAGACCACGGCCTTTATTCTGGCCACGTACAGAACCCCCAAGCAGAGCTCGGACCCGGAGGAGCAGCAAGCTCAGGGCTGTGGCGTGCGGGACAAGGGACTCACCCCACAGCCAGGGCTGCGGCAGAATCAGGTGCCTGGAAGCCAGATGGGACTTCAGAAGGGCAGTTAGTTCTCTCAAAGCCTCTTAAAATCACAAGTGAAATCTTCCAGGAGAGTGCAGCTCCGAGAGCATCTGTTTGCAGAGTCTCTGCCCATTGCCTGGGTCGTCCAGACAGGTGACAGACAGACGGTGACAGACGCTCCGCAAGATCTGAGCCCCGGCTCTGGCCGGCACCCCTCCCTACAGAACACCACGGTTCCCCGGCCCGTCCGAAAGCTGGGCCCTGAAGGAGTCCCCACGGATGTCACGGTGCCAACGTGGGCTGCAGTGAACCAGACAGAATGACCGACACATGTGACACGTGACCACGCGTTGAGGGCATGAATGGCACTTGGGGACAGTTCGACCTGGGAGAGCGGCAGGCCCGGCCACGCCGCCAGTGCCACCAGGGGCCAGGGCGGGCACGGACCGAGGAGCCCCACAGACCCAGGCAGGATGGGATGGCCGAGGGGCCTTTCTGACGGGGACGAGCCCAGTGCCAAAGGCTGGAGAAGCCGCCGCCACCTTCCAGCAAGAGGACGCCTGCCCCGCTGTTGTCCTGTCACTCTGGCATCCTGTCCTCATCTTGGTAAAACAACAGAGGACACATCAAACACGTCCTTCAATCTTGGTGTCTTCTACTGACGAGCCCAGATGTGCCGTTCCAACAAAAACCACGTCAGATAGGCCTTCAACGTATTTCTGTCACGTTTCCTTTTCATTTCAAGATTAAATAGGAACTTTTTTGCATGCCCCTTGAAAACTGGGTCCTGGTTGAATGAAGTTGACTCATTTTGAGATGATCTCTTTCACTGGTGACCCCTCTGAGTCCCCGAGCGATAGGTGTCATGCTCCCCAAAAGTGCACTATCCCTCCACCCCTGCCTCCCCACCATGAGGAGGAAGCTCTCGCTGGCTCGGGGGTAGAGCTTCCTCTGGCCTGATCCTCCGGGCAAGCCCTACAGAGCAATTTCTGCGCTGCTGGAAGGGCCCCTTCCTCCTCCCTTTCCTGTTTGTGCACCTTGAATGGCTACATGACACCCTTCGTGGAAAGGCACATTCAGCCCCGAACACGAGCTTCCTGTCTGTCTGCTCCGTCTGTGCTCTGGGGCCATGAGCAGGAGGGTGGGGTGCTGAGGACCTCAGTGCACGCACTTGGGGGACCTCCTAGTGCAGCTGGGTGTCGAGATATTCAGACACCCAAGGCACTGACGCTTTCCGGAATGTTCTCCCAGGAGCTGAGACGTTGGGGTGGGCGTGCAGAGGAGGTCCCCTGTCCCCCATGCTGAGCCCCCGAGTCTCCATCCTGGAGCCCGTGGGGACCCTGTGGCCAGACCCCAGTCTGCCCGCTCTGGGGAGCAGGACCCCCTCCCCCAACCCAGCACGTGCCCAGAACCAGCTCCCGAGAATCACTCACCAATGTCTTTGGCTCTGACAGCCACCGGCCTTCGCAGCTCAGTGATGAACTTTTTGGCGTCCAGGCGGATCTCGATGATGTTATTCAGCAGTGCGAACAGTGGGGCCAGGGGGAAGGATGCCACGAATAAGGTGACAAAACCAAACTGGATGACTGCAAGGGGAGAGGGACGGTCAGCGCGCCGCGTGTGCCACGGCGGGCCCCACGCTCCCACGGCGGGCCCCCACCCCCCACGGCGGGCCCCCACGGCAGGTATCACAGCTGGACATACGGGGAGGGCGGGGTCTGGCTGGCTCCCTGCCTCTGACATGCCCCCGTACCTGCATACGGGGGGACCTGGGAACACTCCTGCCACAGCCCCAGGCGACCCCGGGCCAGGAGGGGGCTGTGGGGAGCATTCCAAATTTTGCTCTGGCCCCCTGTGTGGGCTCGTGTGTAAGAAGTGGGCTCGTGTGTAAGGAGCCTGCAGTCACCATCACACGTCTAAGCTCAGACAATCATCAGTGATGGGGAAAAGGCCCCCGTGAGCACGAAAACCCGGCCTCGGTCACCCAGGTGGGGCTGGCAAGGGCCTGGTGGCTGGGGGTTCCTGGGACCTGGGGGCCTTGGCAGTATCACCGAGTGTCCAAGAGCCCCCACTGTCTCCTTTCGTCAGGCCTTGGGGAGCTCGGCGGGGCCCACTGTCCAGGACAGTCTGGCCCCTCTTGGCCCATCCTCGTCGCTGGCCCTGGGGCTTGGACCTTGGATGCCATGGCCGGCACAGAGCCGGGCTCCCGGGAGAGATCAGGGAAAGGTTGCAGCATGGGGGAGGCTGGCTCAGGAACCATACAGCCTGTCCCAGGGCTCTTGTGGCCTGCCAGGTGGTAAACAAGGAAGCCGGCAGAATGTCACTGTGTGCCTGGCAGGCTGAGAGTGGCCATTGTTAGAGCCACTGGTGGGGGGCTCCACGGGAGCCTCCGTCTGGGAGTAGGGTCGCGGGCTTCTCGTTTGCTCCGTGGGCCTCCATGGGATCCTTCCGTGGACAGTCGTGTCTGTAGGTGGCTCTGGCGGGATGGAGGCTTCGGATCAGCTGGGCTGTGGGCTCCAGGTGGGCCGCCGAGCCTGAGGCTGTGGGGTCCTTGCTCCCGAGTGATGCTGCCTGCTGCTGCTTGGACGGCCGAGAAGCAGGGAGGGGAGCTGGAGATGGCCTGGGCCTGGGGCCCTCCCCGCTGCCCCCTGTCCAGTCTCAGGCACTGTGTGCTCCAGGTGCCCAGAAGAGTCGGTCCGCGAGGAGGAGGCCAGCAGTGGCTGAGGCAGAGCGTTCTGAGTGGCGGGGTACTACATGGGTCCCAGGGTGGGCGGCTCCCTGGGTGGGCAGGGGCCCATCCCAGGAGTCCCACCATGCCCAACAGGGACGCAGGATGCAACTTCTAGCCACTGTAGAAATTAAACTCTGGGGGAGCCTGTCTGCCAGCCGATCCCAGGCTGTTCTTCCTGGTGTCCGCCTTCCCACTGGCCTCAGGCAGGCAGGGGTGGCCTTGCTCCTGGACCCCAGGGCTGAGACCTGACAGCCAGGGAAGGAGCAGGCCCACGGGGGTCCACGGCGGCCCACGGGGTGAGGGAGCTGCCTGCCAGCCTCCGGTTCACCTTGGATTTCATTCCAAGAGAAAATAGACAAGTCATCTAAACACGACGTTATTTCCAGTTTTTAAAGTCTGAAGATTCTTTTCCTTCTGAGTCAACGCAAGGTGCTTCTTGAATGATCATAGGGACACTGGGTGTGACTTTTATGGACCCACTGGGCCAGCAGGAGAGAAGTCTCTTGGGGCAGCCTAACCCTCAAAACTGGGAGCAGGTCTGGGGTTTGCTCAAGTACTTGGAAGAAGTGCAAGGTCCCAGGTCACACCCTGCACAGACCAGGGGTGGGCCCCAAAACTAGCATTTACAATGTGCTGTCCATGGTGGCTGGGGGCCTACACTTGGGACCCCTCTGCAGGGGCCGTCCTGGCCTTTACCGGTCTGTTCACTCAGCGAACATGCACTGAGTGCCAGCCGTACAGCTCATCTGTTCCCGTGTCGGGGGTTTGGCAGGGGAGAGAGCAGAACTTCCATCATTCTGCTGGGAGGTGGAGGTAAAGCTAGAGTGCATGCTGGTGACAAGAACCAGAGCATGGGGAGAGGCAGAGGGCCACAGCGGTGCAGGGGAGGGGCTGCCCCTTCTGAACCCTGCAGTCAGGAGGACCCCTCTAGTGGAGGACATCCTGACTACAGCCCTGGAGAAAGGGAGAGCATGAATCATGCAGGTATTAAGAGGAGAGCATTTGACAGGGCATGGCTAGTGCAAAGGCCCTGTGGTAGGCATGAGCTCTGGATGTTTGGGTAACAGCAAGGAGGCCAGTGGGGCTGGAATGGTGGGAGGAGGCAAGGAAAAGGCACAGGTGGGATTGGGGGGCTCCAGGTGGCCGTGCGAGCTGCGTCTGCCCTCTCTCCCCCTCCCTGGTGCCCCCCGCTGGGAGTTAGGGCCAGCTCTGGGCATCGTCCTGTCCCGGGACACCATTGCTGGTGCCAGGGCTCCATCCATGGGTATCTCCTGTGCTCTGGCTCGGTGCCCCCCCGAGGACGGGAGCCCCGTGCCGCATTCACTCATCTCCATGTACTCGGGGGTGAGGCCCGCTTGTGCCCCCCGAGGACGGAGCCCCGCGCCGCACTCACTCATCTCCATATACTCGGGCGTGAGGCCCGCGAAGGGCTCCAGTGTGTAGTCCTCCTCGTAGCGCTGCCTCCGCTTCACGTACGGGTCGTGGTCGGGGGGACTCTGGCGTCTCAGCCGCAGGTACCGGATGAACTTCTTCATTTTCCTGAGGGAGACACAGCGTCGCTTCAGCCGCGGGCCCGGCGACACGGGTGCTGGGGCCCGTCACCCGCAAGCTGGGTCTCCTGTTCCCGGAGCCAGGACCCCTCGGTCGAGGACTTCCTGGGCCGTCCCTACCCCGGAGGCGGGGTCAAGGGCCATCGTTTGGTTTTCGATATAAGGAAGCAGGTGCAGGGGGGACCACGGGGTCAGGGGTCCGCGATGCCCAAGCAGACGCCATGGGTGGGGGAGGGGAGGGAGTGTGGAGAATCATCCCAAACTCCCTGATTCCAGCGGGCTGGCTGCCCTGGAGGCACATGGGACACACTTCTCGAAGGTCAGGAAGCAGGGCCTCGAGGCGCTCTGACAGCCAAGCCCAGGGGGCCGGACCACGAGTCTGAGGGTGCCTGTCAGGACCCCTCTTCTCGCCCACCATGGGGTGGCTGTGCCCCGCCTCCCCTCCTGTCCTCACCTTCAACCCCGTCCCCACCCTGTCCTGGCCCAGGTCCCACCTCACGTGCCCCTCCGACCACCACGGGAGCCTTCAGGGGACCCCAGGGCCTCCCCGCCGACCCCACTCTGCTCGCACCCGAGGTCGGACGTTACTCACGGGATGCCGATCTCAAACAGATTGTTCTGGATGAGCTGTTTGCCCAGCATGATAATGCTGAGCTGGATACAGAGCTCCATCAGGCAGCCCCCCGGGGCACACTGTGGGACAGAGGGCAGGTGCGTCACAGCCACCCCCGCCCGTCGTGGACACCCGGAGAGAGGACTGTAGCCCCCCGCTGCGAGGGGAGCTCAGCCCTGCTGCTGTGGGTCGCATGTGTTCTCCACAAACGCCATGCTAACCCCCAGAACCACAGAACGTGGCCTTGGTTGGAAAAGGGTCTTTGTGGACGTGACCAAGTTAAGACACAGTCATCCTGGAGTGGGGGGACCCTAAGGCAGTGAACAGTGTCCTTATAAGAAAAGGAAACACAGAGAAATGAAGGCCATGTGAAGACGGAGGCAGGGACTGGAGTGCTCTGGCCAGAAGCAAGGCAGGCCCAGGAGGCCGCAGCCCCCAGAAGCCAGGGGTGAGGCCCGAGGAACCTGCCCCTGGTTCTCAGAGGGAGCGCAGCCCTGGCTCCTTGATTTGGGACTTCCAGCCTCTAGAACCATAAGAATACATTTCCGTTGTTGTAGGCCTCCTGCTCTGTGGTACTTTGTCCCCGGAAGCCAGTGCATCTCGTCTACATCTGTCAGGGCTGGGACGAGGCTCAGAGAGGGGAGCTCATTGCCAGGGAGTGGGCAGGGCTGGGGCTGGATCTAGAGGGCTCCTCCTCCCCGCCAGGGCTACTGTCCAGTCCCACGCACTGTGGCCTAGCCACGGGCCCTGCACGGCTGTGGCAGCCTGGGGCCAGTGAGGCTGGTCACCCTTCTGGAACCTAATGTCCCTGTCCTTGGTGGGCTTGCCTTGCCTGAGGCTGGGTGTGGGCAGGCACGGGATGGGCCAGAGGCTTCACTTGCCCGAGTGATGGGAGCTCAAGGGATACCGCGTGACCCTCTGAGGCGCAGCTGACCCCTCTATGTGCCCAGCTGACCCCTCTATGTGCCCGGAACAAAACTTTTTATACTGTTATCACAGATTTCATATCAGAAAGCCACCGTTTCATTTAAAAAAAAAAACCGCCTTTTGTTTTATTCTATTTTACAAAGACATTTCCCCAATCTCTCCAACCGTTAAAGAATTTGATATGGTATCATTTATGGAAAGGCTGGGATCATATAATGAGAGAGCACTTCATGGGTTTTTTTTGCAAACATCTGTTCCTGTGGGTGAGGCTTACATCTTGGGATGTTCCGGGCCTGGCACTCAGGGGCTTGAACCTCTTGGCTGTGCCCCAGGCAGCCAGATCACCCTGTACCTGAAGCCCACCCCAATCTTCTCTACCCCATTTCACAAGATCTTTATCAAAAGACCCACGGATTGTCTTCCAGTAAGCCGAATTATGTCGGGCGTTGGAAATGCTGACCAGTTCCCCAGCACCTGATGCCCTATGGCCCCGGAGCCCCGGCTTGGTTTGGGGGAGACTGCTGGAACAAGTCCAGTGGCCAGGGCACTAACCAGACCCATGGTGGCTGCAGTGGCCGAGCAGAAGCCAAAGGTCAGCAGCACTGATTTAGAGGGAGAGAGGTGGGCATTTCTCCGTCACAGTAAAAGACTGAAGTTGAGTTCTGTCTCATCCCCTCTAATCCATCTTAACAAAAAAGAGAAGGCACACTTAAGATCTTACATAGAAAAAGGAAAAAATCAAACAGGTGTCATTCTTTTGGTGACTCCGAAGAGACTTTCCCCTTTTCAGGTAATTCTACATGGACGGGCCCAATAAGATCAGAGCCCCGTCCCAGCCGCAGGTCAACGGCAGGGGCCCCCTGCCCTCCCCCGCTGGGAGGAGGGAGACACTAGTCCAGAACGTCTGCTTCCCCCGAGTCCGCTGTGTGGACGGACCTGGGAAAGCAGGACGGAGCACAAGCTTACCTCTTCCATCCGGAAAGAACGGAAAATGTACACGTAGTCTCCCGGACGCCCGACGAACCTGCAACGAGTAGCGGCAGTGGGAGGGGAGGGGCAGGGCGGGGAGACCCCGAGGTGGGGGCTGCAGCCGGCTCGACGTGCCCACGGGCTTCTGGCACCTGAGACACGACCACCGTGGTGTGCTGTGGCTGCATGTTCCGGGGGCTCCCAAAGCCAGGGATGCGTGACCAGGCAGGACGTCAGCAGGAAGCCAAGAGGGAAGGGGGCCAGGGTGGCGGTGGCAGGTGTAAGGACAGAGGCAAAGCTGCCCGGCATAGGCAACACCACCAGCCATGGCCTTGTCAGGCTGGGGAAGGGTGGGGACCTCTGAGGGGCTGCTCTGTGGTCACGGATGATCTCAGGGAGCCTGGACCCTTTGGCTGGGCCCTGGGACCCATGATGCTGGGGAAGAAGCCTTTGGAGGAGTTCTGGGATCAGACCTGCTAGCTCCAGGCAGAAAGGGTGATGGGGAGTCTTGGTGGGTGGGCCACAAGCCTCTCCAAGCCTGGAGTGGCTCGGGGGGTCTGGGCACTAGCTTAGAACACCAAGATGGCCATGGCTGTGTTTTTTAACCCACTTCTGGGGCCCTAATCCCCTCAGACATCCTGGCCTACTGTGGGAGCAGAGGGAGCTCTCTGCCCAGGGTCTCCGAGGCTCTGGGCCCGCTGTAGGAGCCAGGCCTCTCCAGGAGCTCAGTGGCCTTAGGAGCCATTCTGAATGCTCTGCCCCGGGCCCAGGGCCTCCACCCTGCAGGGAGATGGGGAGGAGAGCCTCCGGCCGCCCCAGTAGGAACAAGGTGGGGACATGAGCAAGTTTTAGTAACGGCTGTCCCTACCTGCCCTTGAAGAAAGCCACGTAGAAGATGGGGGTGTAGGAATTCACGAACTTCAGCAGGAAAGCCTTGAAGATCAGCCTGTCCTCAAAACTCTTCTCTGTCTTTGGAACCTCTAGAAGGAGGGAGAGGCATGTGGTCAGGTACTCAGCTCTCATGGGCACGGAGCTCAGAGAGGCTAAGTGACGAGCCCGAGGGCGCACAGCAGGGAGGGACCGTGGTCGCCCCGGGAGGCGCACTCACCAATCTTGGTGAGCCAGCGGGCTATGCAGCCGTAGACCTCGTCCAGCAGGATGATGACCACCAGGTTGATGATGACCGCGGTGGCTGTGACCGTGACCCGGATGTTGGACCGCACGGATGGGGAGGAGTTCATGGCCAAGGCGGCGGCCATGGAGATCCTGTAGATGATGACTCCCAGGACAATGGCAAAGGTCACCGCGATCTGCAGAGGGAGGAGGGCCGGCTTCAACGTGGATGGGCTCTGGACCGGCCAGGTGAGTCTGCCGAGCCGGACACTCCCGGGATCTCCGCCAGCACCTGCCGCGGGGCTCCACGCCTTCCCTCCTGCCCACTGACCCCAGCAGGGCACCAGGTGGCCGAAACCCAGCTGGCCTGGACTGTGAGAGGCAGGCTGACTCTGGGGGAGGGGGGTCTCCCCAAAACATGGGTGGTCCTGAGTGGGAGGAGGACTGTCCCAGAGCTGGGTGGGCATGGGGTAGGGCCACGGGCCTGGCTGGGACAAACCGTTTGGGACCCTTCTCTCCACCTCTCCACAAGCCACCCGCACACCTGGCTCATTGCTCGCCTGGCCAAATCCACTGGTGGACCAGAACATTCCATAAAGCTCAGGCGGGTGGCTGCCTGGGAGGGGGGTGGGCCCTGCCTAGGCGGGTGAGTTTATTCCGTGTGGAGCAGTCTGTCTGCCTGGGTTTCTCTTACTTTTCCTCAAAGGCCCTAACTCGCTGGAGACAACCCGGTCCTCATGTGGCCCCGCACTGGGGTGTGGATGTGGGCAGATTCCAACCCCAGGACGCACTGAGGACAGGGATTAGCTGTGCCTGTCACACCCGACTCCAGCAGCGGGCCAGGCTCTGTGATCCTGCTCCCCCTGTGACCTGTGTCACCTCCTCCCGATTGGGGTGCGGAGGGCAGGCCCTGTCCTGCGAAGATGTTCCCTCACGGCCCCTGGGATGCCCCGCTGGGGCGTGGGCCTGCACTGTGTCTGGGGCTCAGCTTGGAAGGGGGCAGACGGCAGCCATCAGAAATCTAGGAAAGCTCCTATTTGAGACTTTGGGTCTGTCTCTCTGCTTCTGCACACATCTGTGGGTGCCTGACGGCGGCCACACCCCGCTCAGGAAGCCTGGGCAGCCCAGCCACACCCTGACCACACTCCCAGGCTGGCTCCGGGAATGAGGGCTTTCCTTGGAAACTCCCTGGCTCCTGCCAAGGGGCCCCTCCCAGGGGAAGGCACCACCCCGGCCTCAGAGGTGGCCTTGTGCCAGCATGTGGAGGGACAGACAGGCGGCTGGCCTGCAGGGTGACTCAGGAAGGAGGGTGTCCCTTGCTTCCTGCCAGAGAGCGTGAGCCCCCACGACAGGCGAGCCCTCCAGCAGTCTTAACCCCTGTGGGCCATGCCCTCTCTGGACTAAATGAGCCATGGGGGTCTGGGTTCACCTTGGTGTTCCCGGGACAAGGAATGTGGAGGGGGGCATTGCAGGCTCTCAGACAGGATTTGCTCAATGAATGAAGTTCCTGGGCGGGGGGGTGGGGTGGGCAGAGCTGTGACTGATTCATCCCTGAGGGAAATCCAAGACCAGCCCCTGCTTCCAGTGAAGTTTGCACAGGGCTGTGGGGCCCTTGGGGCAGAAGGCTTGACCGGCAAGGGGCCTACCGCCTCCAGCCCAGTGGTCGGCAAGGGGGCCACACCTGCGGCCTGTTTCCTCATCAGGAGGAGGGGGACACATTGGGACTGTGAGGACTCGAGGAGACTCCCTGCATGGCTCCTGGGCTGCTGGACACACGCTCGGGCCCTGGTTCATGGCCATTCCAGGCCCTGAGTACCCAGGCCACAGGACTGGGGCACATGCAGGGCTCTAACTTAAAGCTCCAGGCTGGACAAGAGGCCGGTCATTTTTACAGGGATCCTGGGGTCCCTGCAGACCCCTTGGCCCCTTCCCACTTTAGGGGCAGTGGTGGAGCCTGGGACGAGAGCCAATGCCATGTTGACACTGGGTTCCAGTCCAGCTGAACACCACATTGTGTCCCCGTGGGCGGCACGGATCTCTCCCACCGCAGCCTTCTGGAACTTACCATGAAGACAATGGACACCAAGTTGGTGAAGTAGGCTGGGAACCGGTCTCTCCAGGTCAGTTTCACCTTATCCGTCTGCAACACGAAACAACGTCGGGTCACCCGGTGGGACCCGTCCTGGCAGAAAGATGCTGTGCGCGCGCACGGGAGTGTGTGTGAACAACTCGACGACAGAAACACTCAGAAACACCTTTATGAAAACACGCCCGCAGGTGACGAGTGAAAGCACCCCCCTAGCGTCCAAGGAAGGGTCTGGGGTTTCCTCACCTATCAGATGATGCCGGGGAACAGCAGTGATACCCGTGTTAGACCACGAGACCCCTCTGCGTCCCCGGCATCCCAGCGCCAAACGCTTTCCTACATCAGACTGTCGGCCCCGCGTCTGGGGGACACCTGCGTCCGGCCCAAGCCTCACTTTAAGGCTGGAAGGTCGGAGATGATTTTGCCCTCCGCCACCCAAACCATAATAGTTATTTTCCCTGCACGGGGCAAGCTGAAACAGGCCACGAGCATTACAAGTTAAAACGCCGATTGCCGCGTAGCAACGGTGCGCCGTGGTGACACGGGGCCTGCAGGCTCTCTGGCTCGGGGACGGCCCCGGGCTGGTGGGGACCTTGAATAGCAAGCGGCTTGTCACTAACCCGTGATCTTTCCAGAACGAATGGAGGTGGATGTTCAAAACGGAGAGATGCACGTATTAGGACAGAGAATGCGGATGCGGGCGGGAGCCCGGAGGCCACCTCCCACGGCCGGCATGCGTGTTAGCGGCAAGGCGGGGAACCAGGCACGGGCAGCCGTGACAAGCACGCACCACGGGCTCCCCCCGCACCCCCACCGGATCCACGGAAGCCATGCAGGGACATCACGACACACGTCGCACGCAGCTCCGCGGGTGGGGCGGGAAGACGAAGCGTGGACGTGGATGTTAAAAAAAATACAACAGTCAGACTTCGTCAAGGAGAAAACACGACGGACTCGGATGGTCTGCAAACAGTCAAGACTCGCGCTGCCCCCGCAAGAGGGAAGTACCAATTTCACCCCTGCCATGGCGGTCTTAACCCTCTGCCTCCATTTGTTTGTTGACTCCTCTGGAATACACCGGCGCTTCTGAGGCGGGTGGAGGGAACAAGAGAGCACGTGGGGTGAAGCGGGACGAGGCCCGGGCCCCCCACCGTGTCCCCGTGGCCGTGGGCCCGCCCTCGCTGCCCTGGCTGCCAAGGCCGACGTGGGTCCCGGGCGTCTGGAACCGGTGGGAGAGGGCAGACGCCCACGTTCTAAAGAAAACGGGGGGCTGCAAGGGTGTGGGGACGGGAGATGGGGCTTTCGGGCGGACTGCCCCAGGAACGGCTTTGGGGGGCTCCGAACTGCTCCCCCGGGAGGCGGTCCCTGTGATTTCAAGGGTGTGTATCACGGGAAGACGCCAGTTCCCTTGTCGCTGAAGGGTGACTCTCCTCTTTGGCAACTGAATTGGGTGCCATACCCAGGGGGAGGGGAAATTAAAGCCCCAAAGTAAAGCTGGGAGCCAAGTGACACAGAGGAAGAGATAAGGGGTATGGCCTGCCAGACGCAGATGTGAGAGGAACCCTGTGCCCTCGTTGCTGGTGATCGTAGCCAAGGGGCAGGTGGCGGAGTCTGGGGGGCACGCCTGTGCTTGGTCATGGTCTGGACTTGAAAGGACTGACACACGTCACAGAGCCTTCTTCTCCTTAGGGGAGAATGACATACTCATCCGGGCTCGTGCTAAGGGGAGCCGCCATAAAGAAAAACCACGGGGTGGATTGGGCTTAGGGCTGGGGGTGGGGGGTCCTGCCCTGGACACAGGCCTTAGTGACCCAGGGGGAGGCCGTAGGACTTCGGAGGCTGCAGTTTCCAGAGGAATCGCAACCCTTGGCCGCGTGGATCCAGCAAACCCTGTTCGGGTGCCACGGCGATAGGAACGATAAACCCAGGGGCTCTCCTGATCAGCCCCAGAGGCTGAGGCGTGCACGGGGGCAAGGGGGGGGTGCTGCTCAGGGAGCGTCTGCTTCCCACCCTTTAAGGACTGACACAAACCTCCCCCAGCCGCAGGCAGAGGCTGCCGGGGGCCGGGGCACTCTGTGCTTGTCCCAGGGCATATAAAACCCCCTCGTTAGGAACCTCTAGAGGATTGCCAGCGTTTAGGCCGTGAACATAAGACAGCCGACTCGAACGAGAGGTTTGGGGATAAGTCACTTATTATAAAAAGATGGTGATCTTCAGAACATCACAAAACACTTCCATCTCATTCCCGCATCTCTGAGGGAAACCAGGGGGGGGCCATTTGGCCGGGGGGGGGGGGGGGGGGGGGGGGGGGCGGTGGGACAAATCCTCCCGTTCCACAATTTGACATCAAACACAAGGGGTGACATAAGAAAATGGCAGGTGTCCTGTGGAATAGCTGCAAACTACCTGGTTCTTGATGCTGAAATGTTGGCTGACGCTTGAGATACCCTCAGGGTAGATCAAGGAGGGAGCCCCATGGCAGAGTCGGACAAACTTCAGCCTGTGGACCAGATCTGGCCCCTTATTTGTTTTTATAGATAAAGTTTTATAGGAACACAAGCAGGGCCACTTGTTTACCTGCTGTCTATGGCTGCTCTCAAGCTACAGAAAGAATTGAGTAGTTGTGACAGAGGTCTGCAGAGTCAGATATAAATGCTCTGGACCCTGTCCGGGAGGCTGGACCCTGGTCTATACTATTGATGAGGACACGGTGTTTGCTGAGCCCTTGGTCTATACCACTGCATGCGCACATGGTGTTTGCCGACCCATGGTCTATACTGTTGTGTGCACATGGTGTTTACCAAACCCTGGTCCACACTGTTGCATGCACACAGTGTTTGCTGAGCCCCTGGTCTATACTGTTGTGTGCCCATGGTGTTTGCTGAGCCTCTGGCCTATACTGTTGTGTGCCCATGCTGTTTACCAAATCCTGGTCTATACTGTTGTGTGCATACGCTGTTTGCTGAGCCCCTGGTCTATACTGTTGGGTGCACATGCTGTTTACCAAATCCTGGTCTATACTGTTGTGTGCATACGGTGTTTGCTGAACCCCTGGTCTATACTGTTGGGTGCACACAATGTTTTATTGCCGGGAAAGCCAACTGGCAAGGCCACCATACCTCTTTTTTTTTGGATTCTTTCCTAAGCGACTTTTCCAAAACTCTGGCTTCGTATTCAGCTCTGGGATGGTCCTGTGAAAGAAACCAAGTCAACGGGAAGCCTTGTTAATTGGGTCTGAGACCCTCGACGTGAGCACACATGACAGATTCAGGCCCTACATTGGCCGTGGGCACCCTCTGGGGGCAGTTCGTAGCTGGCTGCTTGTACTATTTCCGTTAGAACTCCCCGTCCGTGGCCCACCCAGGATTCTCTCTCTGGGTGAGAACCCCAGCCTACTGGTGTCCATGTCCCGGGGGCGGGTAGTCTGTGTGAGGCTGCCCCCCGCCCTGCCTCCCGCTTTCTCATGGTGAACACCCAGCCATGAACTGGCCCCTGAGAATGTTCCATCAGGAGCTGTGGGGATCGAAGAGACGGCAATAAGTGTCAGCGAGCACGGGCAGACCAGAGGTGCCAGGCCTCGGGGGAGCCCAGAGCAGGTCAGCAAAGGGCGCTGGAAGAGAAGAACGAGGGGTATGAGAGGCCCAGCGGTGGGGGAGGAAGCAGAGAGCCCTGCCCGCGGTGAGGAGCTGCGCGGCACAGACAGGTGGGTCAGTGTGCGAGAAGGCCCCTCTCCCAGGGAGACAGGCTATGGGAAGAGAGAGGAGTGACAAAAAATCCAAACCTTGACAGCCTCCTTCGGGGAACCAGGACGTTCAAAACAAAAACAAAAAGAGTTCATTACTTTCTGTTGTTCTGTAAGAGGCCGCACCCTCTAGAGATCGTTTTCTGAAGAACTGGGAAGAAAGTGGATGGACACAGGGAACGAGGCGGATATGGGGGGCTGGGACCAGCTGAAGTCACCCCTGAGCGGGTCACGTTTGTGGCTCGTGGGGCTTTGGAGGCCCCAAAGGGTGTGATGGGTGAGACTCAGGGAAAGGGCCCACAGGCCGGCCAACTGGACACGGGCTTCCCTCTGCACTGGGCCCCAACCCCCAGGTCAGACTCCGTGAGGCTTCCCCTGAGTTCCAGCTCCCCAAGGGGGCCCTGGCCAGCCATGGCGGGCGGGAGCATCCCTCAGGGGACTCACTGGAGCCTGCTGGGGACCTGTGCTTGCTGGCTCTGATCACCACCCCAAAACCAAGTACCTGAGCCGTCAGGGCGAGGTGATCATGGGATGGGTCCCCTGGGGTTGAACAAAGGAGACCGTCCCCCCACCTTCCCCTGACCATATGGCGGAAAGGACATTCTAAATCTTCTCAAATAATAAAATGACTGCTTTTTGTTCTACTCGGATCTTCCTAATAGAAACAGTTACAGGGAAGGTGGCTTAGCCAGGGGGATGCCTGACCCAGAACGGGCCGCGGGGGCAGAGCGCTGAGGTCCATGCACGGCCAGACCCCCAAGGAATGGCCTGGCGGTGGACCAGGGCGGATGCGGCCACTTGTGGAATGGGGTGACAGGACCTGCTGTGGATGAGGGCTGTGTCCGGCGGTGGCGACCCAGGTGACCCGTTCTGGGGCATTCACACCTGTTGGGCCCTGCTCCAGGCCTACTGACCCTTTAAGACCCCCTCAAGACCCATCGAGGGAGGATGAGGAGAGGCAAGGGCATGGAGGCCCAGGGCTTGCTCTAGCTCACACGGCGAGGGTGGGGGCAGTCTGGGATGGGACCCTGCAGCCTGGACCCCGAGATCTGTCGTCGCCAAGCCGCTGCACCTCTCCTGGCAGACCCTCGTCTCCTCGGCTATGAATGACATTGTCAGGACAGAGCCCACACGCCGCATCCTGGGCAGACCGGCCCTTCATCCCAGGAGGGAGCGCGTCATGGGGGGCATACACGAGGAACGCGGGAAAAAAAAAAATCAGTGGAAGAAATTTCCACGTCATGATGAAGGTGCCTGAGAGCTCTTTTAAAAAAAAAAAAAAGCACGAGGGGCATCTGACCGGCCGTCTGTGGAGTGTGCGGCTCCTGATCTCAGGGTTGGGCGTTCGAGCCCCGCACTGGGGGTAGAGTTTACTTAAAAAAATAAAAAATAGACATGTGCTTTATAAAGTTAAGGAGAGGTCGGGGGCGCTCCTGTGGGCTCTGCTCCGTGGCCTGGCTGTGTGTGGGTGCCGTTCTCCTCCTTATTCCCTCTCACCCCCTGGGGCATTCTGGCTGGAGCTGGTGATTCAGGGATGGGGTAGTGGCAAGGCTTCTCCTGAGGAGGCCTCGGGCAGGGACCCTCCGCCAGCCCAGTGGCCACTCGCTCCTGAACGCCCTCTCCTTGGTGCCCAGAGACATGCAGCGCCTGGCTGCCCTCCTTTTAGGAAGGGCCTCGCTCCCACTCCCCCGCCGGGTCCGACCGCAGGTGGAGAGCGGGCCCTGGGGGCCAAGGCTGAGGCCACATTGGGCCCTCGGCCTTGAGGGTGGCAGCAGTCCCCTCCCAGACCGCCCAGGCTGTGCCCGACGCGTGGGGTCCGCCAGGGAATCCAGGCACACGTTCACAGGAGCTTCGAGATCTAAGACTGCAGGAGACCCCAAAACGTCTCCCCGCTAGCTGTTGGCGACTTAGCCCCAGGGAGACGGGGCGGGGCCGGGGAGCGCGGGGACCAGACTGCTCACCTCCTCCTCCTCGAAGCCCGTGAGGTCCCAGTGGTACCGGAGCCGCATCTGTTTCCGCTTCCAGTGCTCCATGAAAGTGGCCGCTGCGGGTGGGAGGAAGAGCCAAGTCACCCAGGACACAAGAGCACCCTCGTCCCCGGTGCCGTCCGGTCATCCAGGTACCGGCGCGCCAGACCAAGCACTTCACACCAGTCACCCGTTCTGCCCTCCTGCGGACCCCACGGGACACGGACATTCACCGTCCATTTTACAGATGAAGAAACTGAGGCCCAGAGCCATCAAGTCCCAGCCAAGGTTACTCAGCCAGCCAGCGAGGGGCCAGGCAGGCTGGTCCCAGAGCCCCTGCTCCTAACACCCTGCTCCATTGATCCTGAGGACCCCCGGTCACAGGCAGGGGTGCTGAGGTCACAAAGGCGAGGCTGGGGTGAGGCGAGGCCAAGGCTGCTCACTCAAGTTTCACATCTCTGCGGACAGTCTGCTGCTGAGCTGTACTCTTAGCTGCCTTGTTCTACTTCATATTCCCAACGGACTCCACATAGTTCAAACGCTGCCTCCTCCAGGAAGCCCTCAATCATCCCTCTCAGTATCGGGAAAAAACCCAACTCCTCTTGGGACCTCGCTTGCTCACAGTGTCCCCTCTCCCAGTACAGGGGTCCTTCTGGTGTGTGAGGCGGGGATGCCGCCTCGTCCGTCTGGATTCCCAGCCCACAGCCCAGCACGGACAGGTGCCAGCCGTGCTCGCAGATGAACAAACGGCTCTCGGGAGCGCAGAACCACGGAGATGCCCCTGGCCGAGTCCGTGACTTAACGCTCTGTCAGAGGCCGAGGGTGGGGGTCAGGACGGGTGTGGTCCTATGGTTAATGAGCGCTCGGGGCCCCCAGGGGTAGCTGCCGGCACCGTTGGGAGAGCCGCACCTGACCCTCCTTAAACCCCAGTCGTCCCGGGAGGAGGAATCGCACGGCTTGTCTGACAAGCAGGGGCACCGAGATGGAACGGAACGAGGTCTGGCGCTCGCCTGGCAGCGGGGTCCGTCGTCAGTGGGGGTGCAGCTTTGGAATGGGCAAGAAGTGGGGCTGAGTCTGGCCCGTCTCCGGGCTCGGAGAGCTTCTGCCGGTGAGCCGCATGTCTCTGTCCGCGTTCACGTCTGTCCGTGTGAGCAGGTCACAACAGAGCCCCCTCGACGGCCAGTTTTGGGCACAGTGGGCGCACCTGGATCCTGAGCCACCCAAGCAGCCGGGCCGGCCAGGAATCAGCCGCCTCTCGCGGTCTTTCAAGGGGGCATGATTCAGACCTGGGGACCGGCCGCACAGGCCGTGCAGCAGCGCAGAAGACAGGCGGTGGATGGAGAGAGGGTCGGGCATTAGGGACAGCAGGAGGCCGGTGCAGGCTGCTGGGACACGGACATGCTAGAGCTAGAAACAGCCAGTGTCACGGAGGGAGCGCCTTCCTGGGGGTGTCAGAGCCGTGGGCACGGCAAAGCCTCTGCCAGAGAGGCCGGGAAGCTGGGGTGGGGTGGGGAGAAGTACCCTGGCCCTCCCCTTGGCCGCCCTCTGACCTCTCCCTGGCCTTCCCATTGGCAGAGCCTACGGGGAAATGGGACAGCAAGGGGACAGGGAGGTAGCCCCACGGGGTACAGGTGCACTCAGCAGAGAGACCCCGAGCAGCAGTGCTGTGGGGAGCCCGGCAGCGGAAGCCAGACGCCGGCTGCGAGGAAGCCGCCCTGGGAGCAGGCCGGGGAGCAGACCCGACCGCGGCTGCGCCACCTCCCAAGAAACAGGACACGAGGCAGTTTCCTCCGCCTCTTCCCACACGTCCTCTAGCTGCTGTGGAGGGAGGTGGAGGTCCGGCCTGCCTCACACTGACCCGTTCTGGAAGGCGTTTCGTGCCTTCTCTGTCCCGATCTGGCCCACCCGGGCAGCCCCTCCTCTCGGTCCTGGGCTGAGGGAGAGCTGGAACGTGCGGGAGGGTGATTGTAGACACCCAGGGGTTGGCCTGTTTACCCGCCCCGTCCCTGCCTCCTGTGTCCTCCCCATGTCCTCCCCACTCGCTGGCTGGCCCATCCCCACCTCCGTCTCTCAGGCCCCCTGCCCTCCCGTCTCCAGCCCGCGGTGTGCTAATAACGGAGCTACCTCGCAGGGGCCTCGCCACGGGCCATGCTCTACTCTCGAGATTCACTGACGTCGGGAACCTGACCGTCGCCGCCACGCTATGCGGTAGGATGATTTCTGTCCAAGGATTTACAAGCGACCCAGAGACTTGGAGGGTTAAATGCCATGCCTGAGGTTAAGTAGAGGTTACGGGCAGGACTGGGGTCTGAACCGAATTCTATTTGGGCACAGAGTCTACACTGAAGCACTGTACCATCCAGCCTTATGTGAAGGGAGTAATGACCACAGCCATACTGAGTAGTCTGGTTAGAGCAAACCTGGATTGCCATCGTATGGATGAGAGGAAAGCAAGGCACAGAGAGTCTGACTGCTTGGCCCAAGGTCACACAGCTGGGCAGCCGCTCTTTGACCAAGGCACGCTTGCTTAGGGCATGTGCTGTGAATCTTAAGACAGATACCGGGACGTCTCCCAAAGGTATCCCAGCCAAGGACCAAGACTGGAGCCTGGTGGCTGGGTGTGGAGATGGTACACGGCCCAGCCTCATTTGGCTTGATTATGTTTAAGAAATAAAGACCTGTTATATAAAGTGAATAATGTTCTGCTTCTTTAAAAACCTAAAGCACTGGGACCAGAAGGCTGGAGCGGAGGAGAGACCTTCTGTGCGTTCTAGTTCAGGTGCGTCTTCTCCACTTGGCCACAGACCCCACCACGCCCCACGGCCGGACTCCGCGGCCCCGAGTTTGCACGTTTTGCTCTGGAACAAAGGGGTATAGTCATGGAGCTCAGGCTTGGCCAGTGAAGCGGAGATGCGGAGGCTCATGCTGAGCCCAAGGGGCAGGCCCGGCGTCTCAGCTCAAAGGGTATTGTGAACAACAGGGCCAGACCCGGGCAAAGGCAGGGGGACGCTCGGGCGTCCATCCTTCGCAACTGCGCTCCTGTGCCCGTGCCCCCATTCCGACTGCATGGGTGGTGGTGGGTGCTGCTGGGTCCGCTCGCTTCCCTCAGAGGTCCGGCTAGTGGGTGGCTTCCGCCCCCTCTCTTTCCGCCGCACCGTCTGGCCCTCCACGCAGGGGTAACGCACTCCTTCCTACGGGTGCACAAACAGAGGCTCTGAGTGATCAGGGGCCGGCGGACAAGGCCTGGACCCACGCCTTCTGGTGCTAAGACGGGCTGGGGCTGGCGTGGTGGCTCCCCCGGCCTGAGGGCAAGCTGTATGCCGAGCCTGGTCAGCATGCAGAAGACATGGCCTCGATGACCACACAAGGGGGGCCCAGGGACAAGGCCCGGGTGCCCGAGTCCAGAGTCCCGAGGGCAGAAGAGCACACAGACAGACACCTAGAGCGAGTCCGGGCGAGGGCGGAAGCAGGTGGTGGAGCCGTAATTCATCTTTCCTCAAACATCCGTCCCGCGACACAATGCTAGACAAACACCTTCTTGTGGGGCAGCCCGGAGGCATCAGGTGAGCGCAGGACCCTGGGTCGAGCCTGGACCACATCCAGGCGGGAGCTCGGGCACGTGACCACCGGCCTCCTCAGCCCCCGGTTCCCCGTCCATCGGGCGGCTCGACGACAGAGCCTGCTAGAGGCCGTTAGGAGGCAGCCCGCCGCGGCGCGTGGGGGCCCACGGGGGTGCGTTCCTGGGACCTGGCTCCCACGGGAGCATCGCTTCGGGTCTGGCCAAGAGGCTGATCGTAGGTTCAAGGGCCACATGGGGTGTGGGTTCCCCAGAATGTTTCCTGTAGATCCCGAGACAGGAAGCAGACTGTGGGGTACCAAGGGCCGGGGGGCAGGAGGCGGCAGACTGGCAGCCGGCCAGCACGGAACCTTAAGCACGCCAGGGTCCGGAAGCACCGACCCATCCATCGTCTGTCCTGCTTCCCTCCATCCACCTCTCATCTTGTCTCACCTCTGCCGTCCTCTCCCTCGCCCGACCCCAGAGCCCTAGGGGCAGGCAGGCCTCAGCTGCTCCCTCTGCACCAGCCCAGGGGTGTGCCTACCCTGACAGGCCATCCTCGAGAGGAGAGACCTGCTCCGACCCTCTGGCTCCCAACACTCCGAGGGTCCACTCGCCGCACACATCTCCTCCTCCGAGGGGGCACCGGGGGTGCCTCTGCCCAGAGCTGCAGGGCCGGCAGGGGCTCTCGGAAGACATGCGGCTCGCGTACCCTCCTTATGTACCCTCCGAGCAGGCCTCCCTCCTGAGCTGCCCCGGCTGTGGAATTCCAGTGAGAAGCCCGCACTAGCTCCCGCTGCACCCCCACTTGGCTCGGGGTGCTGGGCGGGGCACGCCCCAGGGGCTTCACCACCCGCCGGATCTCCTTCAGGTCCAAGCCACCTTCCCAAGCTTCTCGCAGCCGGGCTCAGATCAAACAAACTCCTTTGTTCCGCACGGAACCGACAAGCTGTTGAAACCCCATTATTATGCCATAATTTCAGAAAATTGATCACAGCAAAGAGCTAAATGGGGCTCAAAGTTGCTTTGTGGGACACCTTGTTGGAGGCTTTGAAATGTCACACATCGCAGGTGGCAGCGAGCTGGAGTCTCTGGGGCCAGCGTGTCCGCGCCCGGGGCCAGCGGACCCCACGGAGGAGCGGACGTGAGGCCCTGTCACTGTGCCCGCGTAAACGTTAGCAGCCGGAGGGTAGGAGAAGAAAGGACATGGGGAGGAAGACCGACCAGTGGGAGAAGGATCCCCCAGAAGGCAGTGAACAAGTCACTGAATAAGGGATTTAAAGGAAACCGGCCGCGAGGTCTCTGCTAATTACGCTTGACGGCGATTGTGGAGCTGCAGGACCGAGGGGGCGCCCCCTCTGCCTCCGCCCACCGGATGGGGCTGGACCGCACGGCCACCTCCGGAGCCCCACAGGCTCGTTCCTGTGGCTTTTGTCTTGATTTGCAATATGCTCCTTTTTTCCTAAGGGAAGTGCCTCCTGGGAGCAGTTTGGCTTTTTTGTTATTTTTTTCCCCAAATGA